AGGAAATAAGTTGTGGTGGGCCGATAAGGGCACAGATCAGATCGGTACATGTGACAAGAGCGATGGAGGCAACTGGAAGGTTCTCCGAAATAACACCTCACCCATGATGTATATGAAGATTTACAATGAGACTGTGCATCAAGGTGTGTGTTTTCATATTTATATTGATTATGTTAACCTAAAATGCATGTGACTTTGTCCTCATAAATGAATATGGAAGTAAAATGAGAAATTGGTCTTTGTAAACGTAATAATTTTAAAAAAGATTAAATAAATTCATTTATTAATTAAAACAATATTTAAATATTTAATAATTCATCATAATTATGATTATTTTGTTGATTATTATTATACTTAATTATACTTAATTTACCTAATATTCGATTTGAAGAATATTAAATGTTAAAATAGCTCACATAATCAAAAAGGAATTCCTGGATTGTCAGATGGTAAAACAGATTAAATATTAATATTATCATAGATGTTATTACATTTGAATGAATGCTTAAAATTAATATTATTTGACCCTAAAATGCATATGTGACTTTGTCCCCATAAATGCATAATGAGGTGAAAATAAGACATTCTTCTTTATAAAATTACTCAATTTTAAAAGGAAAATGTTTTTCCTATTCTAATTTTTATTAAACTATTCATTAATTATAATTTAAAACAAATAACAATTAAATAATACAAAATATTATTAATAATAATAATACCAATTCAATTATTTTTTAATTGACTAAATATTCAGTTTAAAAAATATCCAATTAAATGTTAAAATAGTTCACATAGGCTAATTAAAGGGGAATTCCTGAATTGGCAGATGACAAGAGAGACCAAATATTAATATAATGCAAAATGATAATAGAGTAATACATTTTAATTGAAGGTTAAACTTAATACAAACTATAATAATACAGATACTGTGATACTTTTAATCACAGAATGATACAGTTTGGATGTGATTGATATCTACTATAGGTACCAACCTCTGCAGTAAGAACAATGGTGACTGTTCTCAGCTTTGCTTGCCAACTTCACCAACTACAAGAGCCTGCATGTGCACTGCTGGATATAGTCTGAAGAGTGGCCAACAGTCCTGTGAAGGCAAGATCTCATACAAGCATCACTAATGTTTTCATATGAGCACATTTTAACATTGTGTGTATTGTACTTTTGTATAAAGGCATGGGCTCGTTTTTGCTCTACTCCGTGCATGAGGGCATCCGTGGCATTCCTCTGGACCCATCAGATAAATCTGATGCCCTGGTACCGGTGTCGGGCACCTCTCTTGCTGTGGGCATTGACTTCCATGCTGGTGAGTACGCAGATGTCTTTGTGTCCATAAATTCAGCCTGAAAATTGCCCTGAATGCAACTAAGTTGGTGTTTTGTGCTTCTTGTGCCCTGTAGACAATGACACCATATACTGGGTTGACATGGGCCTGAGCACTATTAGTCGAGCCAAGAGAGACCAGACCTGGAGGGAGGACATAGTGACCAATGGCATCGGCCGTGTGGAAGGTATCACCGTTGACTGGATCGCAGGTGTGTAAATGTGCAAACACACAATTAAAACACATTATATATTAGTGTGTCTAACACTTAATGTTGTTTTGTTTAAATAGGCAACATCTATTGGACGGATCAAGGCTTTGATGTGATCGAGGTGGCCAGGCTCAACGGCTCCTTCCGCTATGTGGTCATCTCTCACGGTCTGGACAAACCACGTGCCATTACTGTACATCCAGAGAAAGGGTGAGGAAATGTGTCTGTTTGTTTAGGAAAGATGATGAGAAAATGGTGTATTTGCACTTTCTCCTTTGTGTTGAGGGAAGAATTGTTCTTGGACTCAGGTATTTGTGTGTACAGGTATCTGTTCTGGACGGAGTGGGGTCAGTATCCACGTATCGAAAGGTCTCGTCTGGACGGTTCTGAGAGATTAGTTCTTGTCAATGTCAGCATCAGCTGGCCCAATGGCATCTCCATTGATTACCAGGTTTGTACATAAATAAACTGTGCATCTTTTCCAGAACAAGTTTGTTGTTGGTTCTAGTACCAAATGTAATTGCTAATCAGAATGTACTTTTAAAAGACATTTAGTTATTACTATTATTATTATTATATAAAAAAAGCAGTTAAACCAAAATGCTAAGGTGAGTGCTGTATCACTAATGTTGTATAATGTGTAGGAGGGCCTTCTGTATTGGTGTGATGCCCGCACAGACAAAATTGAGCGCATAAATCTGGAGACTGGAGAAAACCGTGAGCTGGTGCTGTCTAGTAACAACATGGACATGTTTGCTGTTTCTGTCTTTGAGGACTACATCTACTGGAGTGACAGGTGCAAACGCAGTATTCCTTTACTATTGTCTGTTATTACCTTTTTTAGGTGACCCCTTTCATTCATAATTATTTGTTCTCAGAGATGATTATGCCTTACTCTTGCAGTGTATTTTACTCATAATGAGCTTTTTATCCTCTTCTTTTTACAATAGGACACATGCCAATGGTTCCATCAAGAGAGGAAACAAAGACAACGCCACAGATATGGTCTATCTGAGAACAGGAATTGGTGTGCAGCTCAAAGACATTAAAGTCTTCAACCGTGCTAGGCAGCAAGGTGGGTATTTTTCTAAACAAGGAATATATAAATATAAAATAAAGCAGGGGTTTTCATCCGTAAGAACCAGGGCTGCACGATATTTGAAAAACCTGACATTGTATATTTACTATATACTGATGATATTTACTTTTTCTGCAATATATTGCAGTATGAAAAATACAGTAATGTTCACCAGATGACTTCTATAACTATATTTGGAAAGAATTGATCATTCTAGAGTGAGTGGAGTGATTTTGTTGGAGAGTGCAAAATAAAAATAACTTTTTTTCTTTTAGGGTTGAACAATTTGGGGAACTTTTTTTTATTTTGAAGTTTGGTTGTTCACACTTGGGTTTACAACATAATTAGGGTTGGAAGTAAACACAGCAGGGCAGTGGCCCTCTAGAACCGGATTTGAGAAACTATGCACTAAGCCATATTGTGATATTGATTTTATTTCTTTAAATCGTGCAGCCATAATAAAGACCCCTTCACCCAGGCTCTCAGCCAATTCATAGACCCCAGTATGTAAAAAGTAGATTTTCTCTGAAAGCTTATACTAACTTCTCTCTGTAACTTATAACAACAGTAACTGTTAATTTAATACATAAATTAACATAATACCCTTTGCAGGGACCAACGTCTGTAAGGTGAACAATGGTGGTTGTGAACAACTGTGTTTGTTCCGTGGTAACGGCAATCGTACCTGCGCCTGCGCACACGGCATGCTGGCAGAGGACGGCCACAGCTGCAGGGACTATGATGGCTACCTCCTCTACTCGGAGCGCACAATACTGAAGAGCATCCACTTGTCGGATGAAACAAACCTCAATGCTCCCATTAAACCCTTCGAAGACCCAGAGCACATGAAGAACGTCATAGCTCTTACCTTCGACTACAGAGGCGGCGGTGGGAAGGGAGCCAATCGGATCTTCTTCAGCGACATCCACTTCGGTAACATTCAGCAGATCAGCGATGACGGCTCCGACCGCAAGACCATAGTGGAGAGTAAGTGTCCAATCCTTTTCTTTCATTTTCATTGTTCTGTATTGTTCAAATATTGTGTATCTGGATGAGGGTAACAAGTATATAACGGTGTAAAAAATAATGAAACCAAGCACTTAAATGTGATTTAAGTTTTGTAAATACATGGGTCTTCTCTTCAGTTTTGCCTCAGCTTCACACACACAACTGTCGAATGTCTCTGGTCAGTTAGTTTTTTGATTTTTTTAAAAGAAATTAATACTTTTATTCAGTGAGAATTCGTTAAATTACTGTTAAGACTTTTAAATTGTTACAAAAAATATATATTTCAAGTAAATTATGTTCTTTTGGGCTTTATATTCATCAAAGAATCCTGAAAAAAAAATGAATCACTGTTTCCACAAAAATATTAAGCAGCACAATGTTTTTCAACAATAAAAATAATAAATGTTTCTTGAGCAGCTGATTAGCGTATTAGAATTATTTCTGAAGGATCATGTGACATTGAAGACTGGAGTAATGGTGCTGAAAATTCAGCTTTGACGTCACAGGAATATAGATTACAGTTTTAAATATTTTAAAATAGAAAACAGGTATATTAAATTGTTTTATTGTATTTTTGATCACATAAATGCAGCCTTGGTGAACAGAAACCAAAAAAATATATATTTTTTGAATGAGAATATATATATATATATATATATATATATATATAAATAGACACATGGAAATAATTGAGAATGACCAATCAGAAGCAATAATCAAGTAGTCCAGTGTAGTAAATGTACATACATTTATTTTATTGATTATTAAAAACTATCTTTGAATGTCTTTTTTTCCAATGCATTTCATTTTTAGCCTGTTAGACAGGTGCCGATGGTTGTTGAAAATGTGAAGTAGCATGAATACAAATTAAAGGAATAGTTTACTGTCATCATTTACTTACCCTCAAGTTGTTTCAAACCTGTATGAATTTCTTTCTTCTGCAGAACACAAAAGAAGATATTTTGAAGAATGTCGGTAACCAGACAGTTGATGTACCCCATTTACTTCCATAGTATACTATGGAAGTCAATGGTGCCCATCAACTGTTTGGTTACCGACATTCTTCAAAATATCTTCTTTTGTGTTCTGCAGAAGAAAGAAATTCATACAGGTTTGAAACAACTTGAGGGTGAGTAAATTATGACAGAATTTTAATCTTGAAGTGAACTATTTCTTTAAGTTTGGTGCAGTGCAAACATTGAAAAAGTATTGAACCTCTATACAAAGTTTGCATTGCTATTGTTGTAAACTGTTTATTCCTGATATGCCATCTTATAAATCAGTCAAGAAAGTAAACATGCATGCATTCAGCAATAGTTTCAAATCTATTAAACATCTGGCTTGGATGTTTCAGGTCGACTATAGTATATTGCTCAACAAAGAATGATGGTAGTACAGTTTCACATAATGACCCATTATTAGATAATATCATTGATGTGTTCCCAGGTAATTCAGGTAGAAGGCTATTTCTGGCATAACAAATCAATGTAGTTCAAACATATACCTGATATTTAGTATCTTTATCTCAGTACATCATTAGTCCCATTACTGATATTGCCTTTTATAGCATAAACACATGGAACGCTTCTGCATAGTCCAGTTCTTTATCCTCAGGGTTGTGGAGGGGGGTCCAACTCCACAGGGTTAAAGGGCTGCACTGTGGCACTTCCTGGACACATAATGCACCCGCAGCCTTTGCAGCACACCCGTCCCAGTGACAGCAGCTCTCGCCGAAATTTGTTTGACATGAAAGCATAAAGCAGCGGATTGGCTACAACCGAAGAGCTCGCTAGCAGCCGGGCCATAATGGTGAAGTCGTGATGATGTGCGTGTGTATTGCTGCTACTGGTACCGATGAGCATGAACATGAGGACGTAGGATGGCAACCAGCAGATGGTGAAGACTAAAACCAACAGGACCGACGTCTTTGTCACCCGGTTCTGATAGCGCTCCATTTGCTGTGCGCAACCTTCCAGTCTTTTCCTTTGTAAGAAGCCGTAGAGTTTGGTGTACATGATGATAATGATGATCAGAGGCAAAGCGAAGCCAATCAGGAACAGAATAGCACTGTAGACCAACTGGCTGAGGTCTGACAGAAAGGCAAAGCAGAGGATAGGCGTCGTTCTCAACTGCCGGAAAGCAAACTGAGGTGCTGCAAGAGCCACAGCCAGAACCCACATAAGAATCACAGAAACCCACAGCCAGCGGCGCAGTCTGAAACGATACGTCCAGGTAGGGTACACCACAATCAGGTAGCGAGTTACCGCTAATGCAGCTAGAGTGAATACGCTCGCCGAGTTACAGGCCACTCCCAAGAAACTGATGACTTTGCACAGGATGCTGCTGAAGGGCCAGTAGCCCAGTGCTATAGCCGCGGTGTGGAAGGGCAGGCAAATGAGCTGCAGTAGATCCGAGGCGCTCAAGGCTAAAAGTAACGTATCTGTCCCTTGAAGAGTTTGGAGCCCATTCTTCCTCCTCCGTCCGGTCAGGACGTAGATGACCAGTGAGTGTCCTACCAGCCCGATCACCATGACTATTGCGTCCAGAATTGGTGCCAAAACCTGTGTCAATTCCCACTTCAGACTCCCAAAATCATGGCTAATATTCATTCTGTCGCCTGCTAATCCTCTTGATATACACTTCAACATGAATTGATCACAATGAAGTGTAGAATGGCATACGTTCAAACTGAGGATGAAGATTGAAGGTCGGGCTAATAATTAGCTCATTCAAGGCTTAATAACTTCCTCACATGGCAAAGCATCATTGGAGTGTTTACTCCAAGAGATAAAGGAAGTCTCCGGCAGGGTGGTTGTTAATGTTTAGCATTAGCATTTAGTTCTATATCTTCCTGGGAAGTTGAGAATTCATGTTAATGATTTTTTTTCTTGTGCCTAGAAATTTTACATTTCAGAATTTTTATTATTATAAGGCTTTAATGACACGAAAGTGCATCTGGCTCACTGCCCTGTCACTCATCATTAAGGATCCATAATTTTATGTTTAATGATGGAGAACAAATTCAAGAGCGATTTAGCAATAACCAAGCAAATATTTAATGACTACAAGGCTAGTTTCTAGAATTGAAAATAGAAATTGAGTTGGAAAAAAATTATTTATAATATTAATTGTTATATTATAAACCTATTGGATTCAGAGATATCCTGATGACTACCTGTGAAGGCAGCATTTTTTTATTTCTGCTTTATTTCAGTTAACAAGAACTATTTCGTTTTTGACTACAATACAATTTAACTACAATAGTTTTAATTTACAATACCAACACTGTTTCGAATGTGGCCAAAGACTTGCAGAATTACCATAAACATGTTTATTTAATAATTTGTAATATGAAAGCACTTCATCTCACATTATTAAATATTAAACTTCATCTTTTATTTGGGATTATGGAAGGTGCTTACCTTCTAGCCATCCATGATTGCTGTTTGCTTGTATTGATTGAGTGAAACCAGGCAACCTTACAAAACCTGATTCCCTGCATCTGTCAAAGGCCTCCAAATTACGAACAGTCGATTCAACTTGAATCTAAGTACCCATTGCGACTTCCCTCTTATGATCAATTAAATGACACTTCAGATTCATTCCAATTCCTTGAGCTTAGCTGTTCCAAGACTTTGACCTTCTTTTGCAAGGAACGCAAGACGACTCATCAGTTTGTCCTAATGTGATATCCTCCTGACCTTCAAGTTCGAAGTAGGATGGGTAGTCGTTCAGGTATCCATCATCTAGGATATCGATTGTCAGATTAACTGACCTTTTGTTATTACATCATCATTTCTGTGAGGATGACGTCTCACCTGTTAACTTAGAAGTGGGCGGTGGCTATTGCGTAAGTATCTTGTTATTCTTCCTTTGGCCTAAAGTCTGATATGTTTTACAGGATCGTTAATGTTTTTTTTAGCATAAGTAAACAGCTTGGTTGACTGTCCTTCCTGTTTTATGGGGGGAGTAATTGCTGTCATAAAGCAGTCATTGGTGTGATGCAGATAGATGCTGCGATCCCCTCGTGAGATCATTTATTCTGTAGAGATTGACTATTATTCATTGTGACTTTGACTCATTGAGACTCTTTCGACGGCGTTGACAAAAGCACATTGCTTCTCACCCCAGAGTTGTGTTCGAGACTCTTCCAGCAGTCCTCTCTTTGTGGAAGAACTAGTCACCGTGGTTAAAGAGATTCACCAAGGGAGGGGTCTTGTATGCACAGGCACCCATCCATGAAATGACCGGATGACACTAAGCCACTAAACACACACAAGCACCAGCAACAAAGGCTATCTCACAGCCTGCAGAAACCAACATGCACACGTATCATGGGATTAAACCGTTCACTGGGACCGGATAAGTAGTTTTAAAAGAGATGTTTTGGACTTGCAATGTGTTAATCATATTCATTTACTCTTTTGAAGGATACGTGATACTAAACGTGTTTGAAGGTGTTACCATCCTTTACAAGAAGTTCAAATTCCTATTTTTTATGTGTCATTTTTAGCTGTAGTAGAGCTGCAATAAACAGTTTGTTCAAACTAAATACAGTGTGTCTACAACTGTGCAATGAATTATGATTAAGAGAAACAGATTGATTGTTCTTGGATCAGTAACAAGCAGTCAGAGCAGGATTCTCTATATAAATCCAAGTCAATTTTTCTCTTTATTTCTTTCAACAGGTGTAGGGTCAGTTGAAGGTTTGGCTTATCACCGGGGTTGGGACACACTTTACTGGACCAGCTACACCACCTCCACCATCACACGGCACACTGTGGACCAGAGTCGCACTGGAGCTTTCGATAGAGACACCGTAGTCACTATGTCTGGGGACGACCACCCCAGAGCCTTTGTTCTGGATGAATGTCAAGAGTACGAACCTTGTATATAAAATTTTCCATGATGCAATGTTTCATTCTACTTGGCGAGGAATACCAAGAGTTTAAAGTATACGCAGTATGAACTATTACCCTACCAAATACCAAAAACATTCAGATTTGTTTTGACTGCCAAAGTGAAGTTCACGTAATCAATAATGGTGAAAGAAATGGTGTAGCACCAAATGTATACGCACAGTCCAACGTCACAAAGCTTACTGAGTGCGTAAATTAAAAAAAAAAGGTAGAAAAAATTGTTGTTGTTTTTTTTTATCACCTAAGTTGAAAACAAATCTTGTTGCTTTTGGTGTGAGAAGACAAGCACATGTCAGTTTCCATCTTTGAATTCCATTTCCTCCTGTGCTCTTTCCTTCAGCCTGATGTTCTGGACTAACTGGAATGAACAGTCTCCCAGTATCATGCGAGCATCTCTTTCTGGAGCTAACGTCATTGTGATCATCGGAAATAACATCCGCACCCCGAACGGATTGGCCATCGACCACCGTGCTGAGAAACTCTATTTCTCTGACGCTACTTTTGACAAGATTGAGCGCTGCGAGTATGATGGCAGCCGGCGCTTTGTGAGTTCCTTTGTCTATTTTTTTATGTTTGTTCATGGGAAAGTGAGAGATGGTATTTTTTTTACTTTTACCTGGTAGATCATGACATTAACAATGCATGTTCATACAATGAGTTCATAAGCTTAGTTCATAGAGAACACACACTACTAACATGTTGAATTAGCTTGCAAAATAAATGAATCTAAATTGTACCTGTGTGCATCTGTGTGATCAGGTGGTCCTAAAGAATGAGCCAGTGCATCCTTTCGGTTTGGCTGTGTACGGTGAATATATCTTCTGGACAGACTGGGTGCGCAGAGCTGTTCTCAGAGCTGATAAATACGGCAGAGATATGAAAGTCCTACGTGCTGACATTCCTCAACAGCCAATGGGCATCATCGCTGTGGCCAAAGACACCAATAGCTGTGAGTGACTAATCCGTGTTAAATCTACATAATTAGGATTTTTTTCCAGCAATATGAAAGTAGTCCAAATATATCTTTATTCATGTGTTTGCTCTGAAATGGCTAAAAAGTGTGAAATGGCATTGTAGTGTTTAAAATAATAAAACTATAAAATATAATATGAACATTTTATTTATATATATATATATATCATTTCTTGGTACTTGCATAAAGATTTAACACAACAGAAAAGAGAAATAATTAAATATGTTGAATTAAAGAAAATGAAAAACAACGTTACATACACCTAGAAAAATTTGGTAGAATTGTAAGGTAAAAAAAAGGTAACACTTTACAATAAGGTTCATTAGTTAGTAACATTAGTTAATGTATTAAATAACATGAATTACCCATGAGCAATACATTTGTTACTGTATTTGTTAATCTTTGTTAATGTTAGAATGTAGAAAAATAAAGCTGTTCATTGTTTGTTCATGTTAGTTCACAGTGCATTAACTAATGTTAACAAGATTTGAATAAAGTATTTGTAAATGTTGAAATTAACATTAACAAAGATTAATAAATGCTGTATAAGTGCAGTTCATTATTAGTTCTTGCTAAATAATGTAGTTAACTAATGTTAACTAATGAACCTTATTGTAAAGTGTCACCAAAAAAAAAAAACATTTAGATGGTAAGTAGAAGGCCTATGTACAGATCTACATATTAAGTAGTGTATATACAACTGTATAAATATAAATATTTACTTGAAAGTTATTATTACCTAATGCCTGGGTTTAATGTATTAGGAAATGTTGTAGTTAACCTTACCTAAGATTAATAAATCCTGTAGAAATATTGTTCTTTCTTAGTCCATGTTAACAAATGAAACCTAATTGTTAAGTGTACTAATATAACAATTCATAGTAAAAAAAATAGTATTAATGGTTTTTAATAATTTATTTTAACTCATTTATGAAAATGACAGGAAATGTGAGCTTTATAAATATATAACGATGATTGCTTCAGCCCCAATAGCCATTTTAAATGAGTCATTTTTGTTTGTGTATGTCTATAGGTGAGTTTTCTCCATGCCTCACCAATAATGGAGGCTGTCAGGACCTGTGTCTGCTCATGTCAGAGGGACGAGTCAACTGCAGCTGCCGTGGAGAGCGCAAACTACTGGGAGACAACACTTGTGTTGGTGAGAGGGACAAACAGGAAACTACTGCCTTAGGCCCCGTCCACACGGAGACGCGTTTAGCTGTAAACGTACACATTTTTTGTCGTATTGGCGTTTCGTCCAGACGGATCCGGCGTTTTGGGACACTGAAACCGCTATTTTTTTAAACTGGGACCCGGGGTGGATAAATCTGAAAATGACACCCTTGCGTTTTCGTGTGTACTGCCAATCCGTATAATTTGTGAAACGATGATGTCATCACCCCACGTGTCGACTAGTCAGACAGTCACGTAACAGCAACAACAACTGCCGAACTGCTTGTATAATAATATAATATAATGCGGCAGAAACTACTGAGCCTCTTGTATTCCTTTATTTATTATTTACTTGAATGTATTTTTATTTAATTTATTTTTTTAGGCCTATACTTTCTTTCGTATGCTATGGTACTGGTCTGTTGTCTGATTAAGACATTTCGTATTTTGTAGGGATGGGGATTTAAAGCAAAAATAATATTCGACGATCGATGGGAATTATTTGATTACGGCTATTCAAAAAACGCACCCCTGATGTTCCACTCCGACATTACCTTTCTCTGTAGGTTATTGTAGGCCTACGTGTTGTAGTCATTAAAGAAATGTATTTAGTTTAATATTTATGTTTAAATA